TAATCCACCACAAATCACTAGATATAGATAGACAGAGTCAGGCTAACACTGAATCTTAGACCTAAGCCTTTATTGTTCCTCAGTGGGGAGGACAACTCCCAACCAACCTCTCAGTATTTTTAAATATTATTTTATGTTTTTTCAACTTTTGTTTTTCCTTTTTGTCTTTTTTCATGACCGGTAATGGGATCGCAACCCTCGGTGTCGCGCCCGTACTGTGACCGGCAACGGAATCGCAACCCTCGGTGTCGCACCCGCACCGCGCTCAACCAGTGAGCGGACTGGTCTCTATATGGGATCCGAACCCTCGGCAGGAGTGCCGCCGCACTCCCAAGCGCCGCACTCTACCGAGTGTGCTACCGGGCCAGCCCAGTTTTTTCAACTTTTTATTGTTTCAGAAAAAATACTTTGAAATCATATCAACACTTAAATTACATTAGCTGGATTCACTGTTCCTTACTCATAGCTGTGTTTTTAAATATCTAACACGTCTTGTTAATGTATACACCATCTACATTGTCTTCTCAAGACTAATTAATTATTGTATATTCCTCAAGGATACAATAATAAATACCAAAGATTTTCAGATGTACTCTTTTCATCTTCCCCAAATTATTTCATTAAATGTATTGTATGTATAGTGATATTTGTTTATTTCCATGATAAGTTATTTATAATTATGGTAAAAATATATAAGGAAATTAAAAATTTTATTTTTTTTATTTTTTTGGGGGGGATAAAAAAATTTAAAAATGTATGGTTAACTACAGATTTTTAAGATAAAGGTAAAAGGAGTACTGGACTATTTTAAAGGGAGTTAACTTATTCAAAAGCAGTATTTATGCATTTTTGTGTCTAACTGATAACCTATAAATCTGCTCTAAAAATTCTGTTATTGAGAGAAGTAACTTTTGAATCAAAGATAAAAATATAGTGGGTTTTTATACTATGAATCACCTACAGAATAGAATATAGTAATTTGGTACCCTTATGCCCTAGTATACTCATTTCTATTATGACCACAAATAAACACAATTATAGAAACATACAATTTCATTATACTTTCTTATGTAAGTAGATGGCTACCTATGCACTTCTTTAAAAAATCAAAAAAATTATATTTCAAATAGCTGCCTATATATCAATTTTAAAAATATGTGCATGGAGAATGATTATTTAATTTTGTTGTTAAATCATAATTATTAAAATCGGCTAGGTTTCCTTTACTTGGAATCTTTTACCATGAAAACCATTATTTTATTATCCCAGAACAAATGTGGTTATTTTCTGAGACTCCCTCTGCTACCCCACTTTTTCCCCCCTCTGATGAGCTCACTCCATTCATAATAATGGCCACATCTCCATCTAGTGGTTTCCTGATCAATGAATACCTGGAGACTAGTGAAGAAAGAACACAACCAAATTTGCTCTAGTAATACCATCATGATGATTTCATGGCACCAGAAAAGAAACTGCAAAACGGTAAATGGAACACTGAACACAAATACATGCCACAAAACCTCTAATTAGTAGCATTGACCATAAAATTCAGAAATTTCTTAAGTTTAATCAATGGTAATTTTGACCTAGAAAATATAAGTAATATTAAATAAAATAACCTTAGAAATTAGAAGCACTTATACTAAAATATTTCATTAAGAATATCAATATTTTGGGACTATAAAGCTAAAAATGTTATTTAAAACAGATTTGTTTTAAAAAAAGAAAAAGAGTGGTTAACTCAGAAGTTCTTAAACTATGCTTGATAAAATTGGAATGGACCATTAACTTTATGTTAGCATCTTTTAAAAATAAATTGACATGACCAGCTCTAATAATTGTTGTTAGGTATTTTTTTCTCTTTTTTTTGATACAGGATTTTGCTATGTTGCCCAGACTGGAGTGCAGTGGCTATTCACAGGTATGATCAGCACAGGAGTTTTGACCTGCTTCATTTCACCCCTCCTTAGGCAACCTGGTGGTCCCCGCTCTGGGGAGGTTACCATATTGATGCTGAACTCAGTGTGGACACCCCGGTGTAGTGCACTACAGCCCAGAACTCCTGGGTTCAAGTGATCCTCCAGCTGAGCCTCCCTAGTAGCTAGGGCTGTTAGTGCATGCCTGGCTCCAGGTACTTCTATTTAATGAAAGTAAGATATCTTTATGTATGTATTTTTTTTCTCTACAATGACACAAAAACCTTGAGAAAATAATGATTTTTTAAATAAATATAAGAAACTGATATTTTCTGTTTAGAATTAGAAACTTAAGCACCATTTGAAATCAGCTATTTACAAAATAACATTAGTACTGGGATTTTAATAACCTGGTTTCAGGACATTTATTATTGTGAATTTAGGGACATGGACTATTTTCCAAAATTTCAGGGCACAAACAAAAACAAAGAAAAATTAGAGAAATTGACTGACCATCCACACCACATGAAAACTTGCAGTAAAATGAAGATAGGAGCTGACGTCATGGTACAGGCACGACTCGTTGTGCATATAAGTTGATCCTATTAATAACGGGCAAAGTAGCAAGTACAGGAAAAGGAAAGAAAACACAGAAAAGAAGACATACAAGATGAGATTTCATGCAATTTGCTGGCAGTTAGCAGTTAATGTGAGCCTCAATCCAGAGCAGATTCACGGGGACCATTGCAAAGAAGCATTACTGAAATACTCCACTGCTAAAGAAACATAACATATTATTAGCACACCATGCTACTGAGCAAGAGTTGTACTTTCACACACAACCCGACATATAATTTATAGGAACTTGATCTGTTAGAAATTTTTGTCTTAGTCAAGACTTTTTAATGCCTTGATCAAAAGCCTCCTAGGATGAGAATATTTTGAGTAATAGGGTTTTTATATCATCTTTCCAGTTCATCTGAGTGAATTTAATCTCAGTCTTTGAACTGCTGAATGTGGGTGACAAATAGTTGATGAGTGGAGTTTCCCTAATGAGTGACACTACCCTTGGGGCCCATATATGACGTTCTTCAGGGAATCAGTTGATATGGGCAAACCTCTTGAAGTTGCAGTAGATAGAATAACAAGTCCTCACGTGGATTTTACATGCCTTACTGGGCAAAACTGAAAACATACAACTTAGTTGCAATGTGGAATCACTTTCCCTATCAAGATGGATAATCAGTAGTACTCAGAGATAACTGGGATTTACTGGCTAACACATCTTGCATTTTTAGCTTTATTCCTTACCACTGATTTTATTCCTTTGTTTCATTTTTAGTTTATATAATTACATAATGTGTTTCTGTGAAAATGCCATATCCTTTCTGGGTCAAATGTGCTGTATGTATTTGAGTAGGCAAAACTATTTTAAATAAATAAAAACCTCTAAAAATGTACGTTAATCAACAAATGTTCTGACATGTTTCTAGAGTAAGGAATTCATGAGAAGATGCTTTACATTTGGATGCTCATTGGTGTATGCAAGCCACTAAGTACAAAGATGCACCTTGGAGAATCAGAGAATTGGGTAATATTATATTTAAAATAAAAAAAAAAATTATGGGGCCTTCATCTTAGAGAATAAGTTAGTTTCTTAATAATTAAAATAATTTTAAAAGCACAAAGCTGATTACATAAACAGTAAGTCAGACTAGTGTTTATAAACAGCTGAACTATATGAAAAGTAGTCATTTTTAGATAATACATTAATATGGTTTTTCATATTTTATCACATTAACCCTGTGTAATTGACCCAGTCTAATTTCAAACAATAAAAAAAGAAATTAGTATAATTAAGGGAAATAATACAAATCTAATATTTGATAGAATCAGAAATTGTAGAGGGTTAGAAATCTTGATTCTCATTGGATTTTTAGAATAGGGTTTTTAGGTAATACATGTATAGGTCAAAAGCCGTTGATTTAGGGGACAAAAGTCTACAGATAGGATGGCAAAAGCCCATCTAATCAATTATAATCACTGTTTACGGATGGGATTATGTACTTTGACTATTTAACATACTGACTGTTGTTAAAAGATGTTGAAAGAATTGCTATAGGGGAAAATGTGAAAAAATGTTTGCTAAAGGCAAGCTGTTTGTTGGTGGAAACTTTAGAGACAATTATAAGAATGTAACTTTTGCTTAAATCATTTGCGGAGAGGTTATACTTTGGGTTAGATAATGATCTCAGTTTGATCAATTTAGGTTTTCACAAATTGTACTTTGGAATGTCACCTTGTTAATTTAAATGATGTTACTAGTTTCTATTGTTTAAGCTATACTTAGGTGTAGATAACTTTTGTCACATTGCCTATGTCTTTGTGTCCTTTTGAAAAATGATTGAATCAATTGACTTTTCTTGTGAAACTTCCCTATCTTTACAACAAAAACAGAAGCTAACTTTGAATCAGGGCTGTACCCAGTTTTCTCCTAACAGAGGAGTTGCTGAGGTGCAGTCCCTTCGGGCTTCTCATTGCATTCATGTTGCTTTGAGTAATCTTTTTGTGTCTCCATTACACAGAGAGAAGTGTAACAGAAACTATGTAAAAAAGTTAAACTATGAAATAATAGGACAATAGCTGAATAACAGGTTTTTAAATACATTGAAGATTAAAGACTAATAAAAATAACTTTTATATCTTCAGGATGGAAATATAAACGAAGGAAGGCAACACATATACCATAAGTAACATTTAGTATAAGTTATTTATTAGAAAGTCTTTAAAATAATCAGATTTGTGCTTTGGATTATAAGTACATTGATTGGAATTGTGTTTGAAAGTACAATTTCTGGGGAAGGACAGAAAGAAGAAGCAACTGTTAAGTTTATGCTAACCATGAAAAGTATGAAATTAAAAAAAAAACCAAAAAACTACCTACCAGCAAGTACATCATGTTAATGAGAAAAACTATGATTAAGACATTATGCTTGAGTAAAAATTGCAATTTGTCTCCTTAAATTCTTGTGAACAATGACCTTCAATTTATAGCATTTTAATCTAGTAAAAGTGTCATCTTACCATGACATTGTTATCAAAGCAGACATCAGGCCCTTTCCGGTATCTGGGTTGTTTAACCATATCACAAGGATCCGGACCATCGGCTAAAGAGACTTGTTAAGGAATATAAAGTTACTTTTCTTCTCCACATAATTAAAAAAAAAAAAATACAATGCAATGTATTCATTTCCCAAAGCAAGCAAGAGATTCCTTTGCCATTACTCTCATCCAACATAATCAATTCAAGTACTTAGAAATTTACAGAACTAAATTGTGAGCTGTCCTTCTCCTGATGCATGTTTAGCATAATCAGTCTTGACATTCAAACCAAATTTGGGGTGAGGGATCCATTCTGCCTCTGCAGGGTGATCATAGCACACTCCTATTTCTTCTCTTTATGAGCCTAATCAGTGTGACAAGGTTAAAAATGAATTACTTCACCATGGCTTTCCATTCCAAACATCTTGGATGTCAAAGGATACAAGTCTGCTCCGCTTGAATAAGCAGTCGTGTGTCACAGGGACATGTCCCTTTGCTCTCCACCATTATGAATATTAAATTGGTGTTCATAAGCTTTTCTACATGAAAGATTCTACAAAATAAACATTAAAATAGCACAGAAAAAAACCAATACCTTTTGGGAAAAGAATGGAAATCTTTTCCATTCGAGGATACTTACATATTAAAATGAAAGACAAAATATGACATATTGAAACACAAAGCATTACCATCACAAATTGTACAAGAGAATGAGTTACCATATTTTTACTTATTAGCATGAACATATTACCTCTCTCAAATGGATACTAAAAAATTGCAATAGATGTTTTCAGTGTGACCTTTGTTTTTTTAAGTTCATTGCAAAATAAGCACTATTTAGTTGCTGTTGAAACTCACAGAAAAAAAATGTTTCATTTTACAAATTTAAAGAATTGTGTTATTTGTCACTGAAAATATGCCAAAGTTGCCTTATTTAAAGATAAGAAGGCTAGGAGCACAAAAATGGCTGAGCATCTTGTGTAAGCTAAGGGCAGAGTAAAGTCTAGATCAGTGCTGTTCAACAAACTTTCTGTGAAGATGGAAATGTTTTCTGTACCGTCTAATGTGGTAAACACTAACAATATGAGGCTACTAAGCACTTGGAATATGACTATTGTGACAGAGGCACAAAATTTTTATTTAATTTCAATTGAAATTTAAACAGCCACCTGTGGCTGGACTACTGCACTGGACAATGCAGATGTTGACAGAATCAAGGGCTTTAAATTCCATTCTCTTTTTGTCCCCATCTTAAGCTGCTTCTGACTTCTTTAGCAATCAACATACACATACAAATATATCACTAAAAGGGTAATTTCTTTATGATTATATATTTTTAAAAACAATGGAATTTATTTTTTTTTCCCTGTTAAACTTGGGACACAAGCATAAAGGAAATCAAAGGAAACCATCATTCAATTCAATGTCTGGATTTTATTTTTATCTTACCATTTAACTAAATTTTTAAAGCACACATTGCTGTTACTGGACATCAGTTAATGAAAGGCCGAAGGGTGTGAAACTCTCTCTGATGTATCCACTGAACACACTACAATTCCGTTTCCTGAAGTTGATGGCCTGATATGATAACCTCCCAACAAGATGGTCTGCTTTTTTTTCTGGGCTCATGCTTGACTCCCCTCCTTTCCTCTCCTCTTTACACCCTCTACCTCCTTCTTGAACATAGAGATTTGCTAAAGTCAGTCATAAAACATACTGATCGTGTCTATTAAAAATTCATGATAGTTTCCCCTTCTAGACCCATCTTCAAATTTTTTTTTAACTGTTAGGGAATTTACTTTTCTGAATTCCTTAGTAACTATTCCAGCACTTTCACTATCTCAGATTACCTCACCTCCTCATATTTCCTCTTCTCTCTCTTAACATTTCTTTCAGATTAACCTGCCCACCATCTCTAAAAATAGTTTCCAACTCTGCTTTGTAAACTGTGACTTGCTGTTCTGTTCTCAGGGATTCTGTGGCATGCATTAACACTTTCCTCTCAAAACTTCAAAAATTCCAATCTTGCCTATCTCCATTATCCCATTACAATCAAATTAAATACTCTATCTCTTCCAAAAAGTTTTAAAGATTTTTTTATGGATATGTCTAGCATAACCATGACCTTAGGAAATTATATTTTCTCCCAGCTCCTTCAGTTTCACGTCAAACATAACATTCAATTCTCCATATCAAAGAAGTCTAGAAGTAAAAACAGACAAAAATCCAACCCAGAATAATATCTTTCTATAAATCTTTTTAGTTACCATATATAAAAATAAATCATATTTGGCTTAGAATTATTAATATAATTCATCTTAATTATATTGGAATATAATTCAGCAACTCTTTATACTAGAAGGTTTTTAATATGGGTTCTTTTAGACAAAAAATACATTAAAATATAATTGAATTATTCCATGTTCTTCCCAGTAAGAAGCAACAATTATCTTGATCATATAATTATACTTGAAGGAATTGCAAGTGATCAAAGCTAGAATTAACTTTAAAAATTGTAAATTTTAAAAGCTTACAGGGAAAATGAAGAACTCTGACACTTAACAACTTAAAACAGTTACTCATATGTGTCTCTGACTCCAACAATCTCTATTTTCTGTAACGCTTATAAAAGTGAATACAATTTCTTAATGAAATAGGACTACTCTAGAAGTAAAGAAACATTACCTGGAACAGTTTCCACAGTCTAATACACCACTGAATGATTTACTATCATTATCGAAGAAGTACTGGGTTTGTTCAGTAATGCAGCTCTGCTTTGACAGGGAGGCTGTAAAGTCATCATCCTCCATCTCAACTGTGGGGGGTAAAAACAAAGATCACCATCACAAGGGGACACTGTAGACAGTCCCCCGGAGTCTTTATTTCTCTCCAAGCAAAATAAATGTATAAGGCCAGAGGCCTTGATATTTATTGCTGTGCCCTATCATGGCAGCCCCTAACAGGTCCCAGATAAAATCAATAGAATAAATTAAACCAATGTGACGTAGGAAAATTTATAAAACATTAGGAAAGGTTTGACCAAAAATATTCAACCTATAAAAGTGTCAGATGGATGATCTCTTTCTCTCTTACACACCACACGCACTCACACTTTCTCTTTCAGTTTGTGGAACTCAGCACATCCAAAAATTTTAATTATTAGGACAAGGACAATATCTGAGCATTTACATACCTGCCTCAAGGATTTGTGGAAAGGTCAAACTCAAGAGAAACTGCTGTAGAATAGACCTGCATTTAAAAAATGAATAATTGTATACTTTATAAATTTTGTAATAAAAACCTGAGTATTTTCACATCTACACATATCGATAAATCCATATTTCCTTTTTATCTTTCTGGAAAAAATTGAGAGTTTGTTCATAAAAGTTTAGAAGCATTTTATGTAAGTATTCTTAAATTATATACAACACAGTAACTTTTTTATCTTTAAAAAAGTCATGAAGTCAAATGTGTTCAGATCTTGTTCAGGACCAAATGAGGGATATATTATGTGTGAAGAGGACTACTGTGCATGTTATTATTCAGAAGTGGCTACTATGACAGAGAATGTCAATATTTCAGTGCATAGGTTTTTACAATCAGAATTTTCTCCTTATTTTAGTTTTTAAAACTCAGTGGTGAAAAAAAAAACAACCAAAAACAAGCAAACAATCAAAAATGACCTTTTTTTAATCACACAGGTTTGGAATTGTGAACAATTTACAGTGTACAATATATTTATATATGTAGTGTGAAATTCATGAAATAAAATATACATATTATATAGAGAGCAAATGACACATTTCAGTTTTTAATAAGTGACAATTGAGCCAAATATTAGTAAAGAATCATCTAAAACTAAATTTAGTTAAAAAAAAAAGGGGGGGGGGGGGTAGGAATATTTTGGCCAGAAAACAAGATAAAAACAACAAAGTATTTCTGGATCACTGAGAGATTTACTTTGCGAACTACTGAAATTAATATATAAATATCATTGACACACCAGAAAATACCATTTTTTAGAAAGGATTTTTTATCTAAAATCTTAATTTTAATAAAAATATAATCACTTAATTTTAGCTGGGAAAACCTCACCATCAAATGAATGTTATAGATTCATCCACATAAAATAGGGCTGGGGACAATACAGTAGGATGATATAAAAAATATATTGTATATATACATATAATAGGGAGGGAGAGAGATAATGGATCCCAGAAACAATAGGAGGTTTAGTTATTTGACTAACCCGGAGTAAACAATGACAAATTTTATCTTTCAGACTTTCCATAGTGCCACAGTAAATACTTTAAGTGTCTTATTTTCATAGGTGGAAGGTCATATGTGAGGGGTGAGGGAGGTAGAGAGGGTGAGATCAGCGAAAAGAAAGAATTGGATCCATTTCAGCAACAGAACGCCTCTAAAACTATGCAAGTCCTTGTATTAATAGTAAAGAGGTAGAAAGTTAAGTCATCATGTCAAAACCCCCCCCCCCAAAAAAAAAAAACCCCGTGGACCTCTAATTTACATATTAAGGCCAATAAATACTAATTTTTTATAGGTCAGTACATACAAAGTTTAAGGAACTTTTTATATTTATATATATATTTTAAGGAACTTTATATATTTATAATATAATATGAAGAAAAAATACAAATGAGAAGAGTTTCAACAGATCCATAAACAAAGGAAGCCTCTAAAGAGTCTGAAGTTTGCATGAGTATAACATTGCTTTCATATGAAAACTCAAATAACTGCAAGTTTTATAGGGACTGTTTAAGAAAAACTATTTGTAAATATTACCAATATGTGCCATAGGAAATGAAAATAAGTAATAATAACAATTTACATGTCACAAAATTTGTATTTTCATCAGCTGCTATTTCACAACACCATTCTCTCATTACCAATAAAACCAAAATTTTGACTTACCAGGCAGCAGCAGTGGCCCACCATCCAATCTGTAATATGTCTGCTATTGATGGCTATAAAACATAATACAAAAAGTCATTACATCAGTCAGTGCTTGAGTGTCCCTCTGAGAGGGATTGATTTGACCATGCATATTACTGACCACATATGCTGAGCGGTGTCCTGCTCCTTGTTTTGGTGCAGATCCGGGCTCACACACTGACTGATAATCATAAGATTTGTTAAAAGCATATACTGATATATTAACCAGGTGTCTCATCAAGCTTGGATCAATCTCTCCAAAAAATCTTCCAATCTGGCAAAGAAATAATAATAAAGTTTCAAATGTAACACAACTATGAGCACCTGAACCAGTACAATAAAAATAATATGAAGAAACTGTGAACTCAGGCATCTCGAGTTTAAAAACAAAAGCAAATGAGAATAGCACTGTGAAAGAACTAAAAGATTAGGTGTTCTCATTACCTAGTGGCTCTGTGTGATATTTAATTTGTGGAAGAAATGGACAGAGATTACTAAGCATTAAGGTCACAATCAAATGCCTCCCGGTAAGTTAGAATGGGGTTGAAGGTGGGGAATGGGCAGACATAGGTCAAAGGGTACAGAGTTGCAGTTATGTATGAATAAGTCTAGAGATGTACAACAGAGGACTATACTTAGTAATATTGTATTTTTTACTGGAAATTTGCTAGAAAAGTGCATTTTAGATGCTCTTACCACACAAAAAGTAACTATGTGAGATGGCAGATATGTTTGTTGGCTTGACTGTAGTAATCACTTAACCATGTATATAAAAATATCTTGTTGTACACCTTAAATATATACAATGAAAAAAAAACCCAAAAACCAAATGCCTCCTAGGGAAAGTGAACAGTAGCATAAATAGGAGTGGGTTGGACTAGAAAAAGAAAAGGAATTTGTAGGGACTATGATGAATTGGAGCAAGTCCCATATAAGTGAGCAATCACTAACTAATCAGCTTCAGCCCACAGACATTGTCATTCAGGAAAACACTCCAGTTCCGAGAGAGTATTGGCAGCTAATTCAAATTTTTGTAAAATCCTGTGTGAACCAAATAGCCTATGTGCTGCCAATTTGCAAATTTGGGACTAGAAACTGCATCAGTTTCAACCAGCCATATATATTAAGTTAGACATTATCAACTGGTAAATACTCATATGTGGAAAATTTTGAAAATTTCTGAAAGATTAAAAATAAGTCCATATCACGGGCCGGCCCGGTGGCGAGTGCGCCACTTGGGAGCGCGGCGGCGCTCCCGCCGAGGGTTCGGATCCCACATACAGACTGGTTCCCGCTCACTGGCTGAGCGAGGTGCGGGCGCAGCACCAAGGGTTGCGATCCCGTTGCCGGTCCCAGTCCGGTACGGGCCCGACACTGAGGGTTGTGATCCGTTGCCGGACACGAAAAAAGACAAAAAGGAAAAAAAAAAAAAAATAAGTCCATATCATGTTAAAATCCTTAACCATAGTTTTAATGGTAACTTTTAGTACCAAAAAGTAAAATCAACTAACACACATAAAGAAAAACTAGATTTAGCATTTCTTAATGGTTTACATTATATTAAGCCTTTTAAAATTGATTTTATGACAAAACAATTCTTCGATTTCTATAATGTTTGAGGGGGTTTTGTAATGTTGATCAGGAAAACAGACTTTGGAAACCCTACTTCAGGTACATACCTGATTAGTATAATCATCATGATTTGCCATCAAAAGAAATCCACCATCATCTAGAATCACACAATCCATTACCTATCAAAATAAAAATAACAGTTAATACATTTTTAGGAAGGTTAGAAGGTTGTGTTATCATTATCCATTGTAATGTAAATGAGTACAAAATAAAAAGAGAAAAATTCAAATGACTTAACTTCTCTTGAACATATGAGGGGTCTTCAAAAAGTTCATGGAAGGATTCGTATTATCTTCTATTTTTCCATGAACTTTTTGAAGTACCCTCATATATGCTCAGGAAATTCCCATGAAATAAAGGGCATGCAGAGTCATATCAAACCACTAGGGGTTGATAATCCATGACCAACCATCCCGTTAACACTGTCAACTTCGTCTAAACAAATCGTATGAACAAATCGGAAATAACCTTTTTACCACTTCAAGTGGTAAATGATCCTGGAACTTGGATATTTAATAATGTATAATTATTTCATTATTTTAAACACATACTTATGATTTTGACAAAAAGACATGTTTAAAAATGGCATTTTACTTACCATGCTTCACAAACTTAAAAAAAAAAAAGCAAGCAGCATAAGACAGTTTACAACTATTTTATATTTCAATATTAAAAATGTTTTGTTGGATAATTGGAGATTCAAAAGCAGAAAGCAAAACACAAAATGTCCATGGCTGAGAAAAAAAAAAAGTTTCATTCATCCTGAAATGTAGGATAAATTCCCACCCAGTTTAAATCATGTTTAAATGTATCCAAAATGATATATTTTTAAGAAATAACAATGTTTTGAATCATGATTTTTTCAAGTTGGGGACACAACGTATTTTCCTAATGTAGAAACAGCTTGCTAAAACCTTTGCTTGAAAAATGGCTACTATATAGTCTATGTAAAATGGATAAGCTATAAAAATAATTAAAATTATTGGCTTATAATTTCTCAAGAATAGGAGTAATATGAACCCCCTGCTTCCCTTGGAAATATACAGACATAAAAGTACTAGAAGAAAAGAGTAGAGGTCATCATTCATATTCAATTCTTGGAATAATTTGTAGTATCATTCTTAGAGAATCTTCATCTTTGGAACAAAAAGTTCACATTTCCCTCTTTAATTTCTCAAACAGAAATGGAAGTAACACAAAATAACGTATAATAAATTATATAACTCCATGGTTTCATTCAAAAATTTTTCGCATCACTATACTGTATGAACAAGCTCAGAGAAAATACAAAAGATGAGAAAGACTGCATTGATAACCAAAAATAATGCTTTGCCTAGAAACTTCCTATTCAGAAATAGAGCTAAAGACAAATATATACAAAAGAATCTAACACTGAAGAGAATACCATCCATATTGACATGACTTTTTTTTAACCTTCCTATAATGTACGAATATTTAAAAAAAAAAAGAAGCATTTAAAGTTAGGAATTAAAAGCATATAAAATCATATTAAAATCATTTACCATTCAATTTCCACAGAATCTTTTCTTTAGCATTTGATTAAAAATTCTTGCATCTTTTTTATCATTAAAGTCTTAGCAAGAGTAACACAAGATAATATTGTAGTAAAGAAATTTGTTTTAAAGAGTTTTCTTACATCACTGTTTCTTTTGCAGTCACAAACTGGACCAGCACACTGAAAGACAGAAATATAATTATCGCCTCACTTTTTTTAAAAGTTGAATTTTAATTACATAATATTATTACCATGTTATAATTAAAAATTTTGGAATAAATTATATAAAAAATAACATTAAATAATCTAGTTCATAAGAAAAAAGAAAAGTTTTATCTTAAAATTAGAAAATATTAATCAATAGATAACTAACATTTCAATTTAAAACCTTCAAATATTTTTCTTCTTATTATTGTCTAATTTAACAAAATAATCATTGAAAAATAATTCATAATTCTGCTTCAATGTAGTGGTACTATAAATTTATTTTGCCACTGTATAAGAGCCTTATTCTTTTTTTTTCTTATTTGAATTTTGAGGATATTAAGTATAGCATAAGACTTTTTAAAAATTATCTTACCGGATCTCTGATTGAGGTTTTGGTGAAATTCTCTATCCAGGAATTTACATCAATTTTAATTCCAACAACTGAAAAATTAATTTGAATTAATTTAAAGGCATAATTAGCTGTACCACAATCTTTGCTTTATGACAGTTTAGCTATTTTATACAATAACAAATAAATGTTGAGTATAATGTTTATTACAGACATATTTCTTGGGGTCTTCATTAAGAAGTAATGCTAATAGCTCTTAAACTATTACATAAACTGTAATTTATATTCACAAAACAATTTATTCATTAACCACAACTTGGCCAATTAACTAATAATACAGTAAGCTAAAAAAAAAACCCCAATAATGTCAAGAATAGCCTCATAAATTTGAGGTCACTCAAGTGGTGTATATTAAGAGCCTCTGTAACCTCACCAGTGCAGGTGGTAGGTGCTTAAGAAATATTTGTTGAATGGATGATGGTTAGATGAATGGATGAGTAAGTAGGTGAGTTGGGAGAAGAGTGGGCGAATGAATGAGCAGCTGAGAGAGTAACTGATTAAGTAAATGACCGTTTGAGTGAATGAAGGACTTGAGGAATGCGTCAGTGAGTGGTGAATGAGTTCGTGAGTGAGGGATGGAGGAAATCCATGTATTAGAACCACTGATGGGTTAAAACTGCCCTCAGGAGCAGGAAGGCAATCTCCCTAAAATACTCTTTCCAAACTTCAAACAATATTGGATCACACAACCAAAAAAACCTACGTAGTTTTTACTTTATTGTATTCACCCACTCCAGCCCACTTGCAACTCTCACTGATGAGCAAACTCTCACTGTTTGCTTGCTTGATTTTATCAAAAAGTTGTTTTTCCATATATTTTATTGCAACCGTTTAATAAATCCCTACCTAACTCTTTTTACAGACATATAGTAGCCCATAGTATAGGTATGTATGTCATAATTTAACTTCTCCTCCAGTGATGGAAACTTAACTTTTCATGCTTAAATTAGTACAGATATGTACATCTTTGGCCATACACCTTTGTATGTATTTGAAAGTAGGAGGACAGACTTCTAGAAGTGTATTCCTAGAGCAATCCAAAATTTAAAATTTTGCATTTAAAATTTGGATATATTACACTTAATTGATTCCATAAATTTGTGTCAACAGTGTATAAACATACTCACTACTCTGAAAATTCAACTCTATACAGTAGTATCAATTTCATTTTGTTCCCAATTTTATGGTAACTAATTGTATTTTATTTTTTAAATTTGCATGTCTTTGACTTTTTGTTTGAGGCTTTCTGATGACCTTCCTGATAAACATTGCCAGTTTATAATACGTATTGGGTCACGTTTAATTTTAGTCATTTTTATGTGTATAACGTGTGCTCACCTGCAGGTTTAAGAAGTTTTCCTTGGATATATATTTCTACAGCTTTGCTAACCATAATGCCTGATTCATAGGCACCAGGGCCACTTTCTAAAAAGAAGAGAAAACAGACCTATCAAGATAAATCAAATAATACTAAATTGAATTTCTTTCAATAAATGCAGATGGACAGTGTTTGCTTAAAAATCTAGCATCTATAAGCTATAAAAAGACATGTGGTCTCTTCCTCTAATCTTCTTTCTTTACATACCAAGCTAATTGGAATGCCCATAAATTGGTTTGAATTCATTAATTTGAGGATATAAATGACTTGGCTCAGTTGCATCTTCTTCCATAATATAACAGACGCACACCAAATCTCTACTTCATGACATTTGCTAAAATACTGGGGAAGCTGCTGAAGTGAAGCGGAAAAACTGATCTTCAGTGCATAAAATTACTCTTGCCTTTCATAAGGTATGTCCCTGCACAAAACTCTGGTATTCTCTAAACTTCAGTGTCCTTATTTGTGAAAATGAGGAGTAAATAATACCTATGCCCGGAGATGAGTGATTAAATTAGAAAGTTTTTGGAAAAAAGCCCAATAAAATATTTTTAAAGATGGGCTTTATTATTATAAATATTATGTAGCTAATGCCAATAAACTATCATTAGTCAATTTACTCCAATTTAATTCATTAAACATTCTTTAATATATTTTTTCTGTTGTGATATGAGGCATTATCTATGTGTGTTTCCATTTATTATGCATGCTAGCTAGATATGCTACCTCTTCATTATTGGATGACTGCTTGCTGCGTATCTATTTTACCTCTTCAACTAACTGGATTTTTCATTTCTAGTTTTCTAATACCTTGCATGTATTATGTACTTAATAATGACTATTTTGAGGAGTTAACATAAAATATATTGATTTGGGGAAAGGCAGGTAGTAGCAATAATTTGTCTTTAAAACAGGAATTGAGAAAGCCAAACTCCAAAGCAGTACTTACTGTTGAAGTAGGGAGCAGTGAACACATAGTTATCATTATCTAGGCTTCTTTTATAGAAGCTGTCCTCATATGTCTCTGGGTTTTCTTGCCAATTTTCTCCAGCCCTATGGAGGAAATGGCTCATCATATGTATTCTTTAATCTACCTGATAACCTACTTTTCCTTTTGTGGACATGCTGAGCTTTACAGATATGTCTGCATCTAAGGTATGTCTAAGGAAGCTAGTGGTAATTGATAGAGTAACTGATACTCATTACTAAGCAATACATCAGCATAATGTTATATTAAAAATCAGAATAAGCTGACTCCTAGTTTTACTCTGCTGTTTACCAATCAAGTAATTACAGACAATTCAGTTAATGGTCAATTAATAGCAATAAGCCTTAGTGACTACTCAGGCCACTTCATAACTGTTCTGAAGATAAATAGAGATAAGATGCATCAAAGAACAAAGAAAACAATGAAGTGCTACACAAATATTGCTAATGGTTTATAATCATTGTTTATTTAAGTAGGTTAGCTTATTTTTCCAAGGGGAAAAATCTCTTTAACATCTCTCAAATTTTGAAATAAAGATATACGACAAGCAATAATATCATTGAAGAAGTCTGTTAATATCATTTTTCAAAGACATGGAGTATTTTAATAAAGCAAATCCTTTAAATGGTGACTCCAATTTAATCTACTAAATAATGGTAAGTTTCTCTGAAGAATGGCTTCCTTATACAGTAATGTACAGATCCTTAGTACAGTCTTTTGTAACGTGCTTGTTTTTACAGATGTTATTTGAACTTACTCTTTGGGATAAACTCTGGTAATCCCACCATCAGTCACAACGAACCGTGCTTTCACTCCCTTGCTGGAACAGAAGACGAAAGAAGAAAATTTCTTATTGAACTTATTCTAAGATACTAAGTTAGGTGTTGGTGATGCAAAGAGAAATAAAACAAGTTCCTAAAATAAAGGAAGCCAAGGTAAATATATCAATAGATGCAAAATTGTGTTTTAATAATTGAAATAAATACGTAAAAAGGTTTGGAGCCCCGTACTGGCCAGACGCTGGTTAGCCCGGTTAGAGCATGATCACAGCAAGGTTCGGGGTTGGATCCAGCCATTAAAGCAAAACAAAACAAAACCTTAAAAGGAGGATGCATCTTATAGGAAATAATGATAGGATAGAGCAGCATTTTCAAGATAGGATAGGAGTTAATAGGGATGGCAGAGAAACCAGAAAGATATCACGTGTAGTGTGAAAAGTTTGTACACATATGAGGGAAAGCTAGAGAGGAGTGCTGGTGGTGTTTGGTGTAATAAAAGCATAAGGCAAAAGGAGAGAAACAGTAGGAAGTCAGATTTTAAGCAAAAGCTTCTTAAGAATGGTCAGCTCGTGAATGATTTTGAAATTTGTGCTACAGAGCTTCACCTTTATCTTGAAATTTGAACTGCATTTTAGAAGTGTGATTCTGTCAACTGTGAGTTATATGGAGAACAGACCGAGAGCTGTGGATGGAAGAATGGAAAGCACTAAAGGCAAATAAGTCAGTTGCTGTATTTTTTTAGTAATGGGATTTTAGGACCCTGATTATGAAGAAGAGAAGGACACTTTGTTAGGAGAAATATTTAGCACTTAGTGATTGACTAGAAGTGGAGTGGAGAAGAGATTGTAAATGAGAATCATACTCAGATGTCTCAGTTTCTTGACTGGATGTATGGTAGTGCTATTCGAAAGCCAACTAAACATACACTAGGAATCCTATTTTACCATAAACATGCCTATTTAATTTGGTTTATTCACACTGAAGTGTATACACATGAAAAGCTGAGTAATGGTAGACATTAGTACTGAAATATACCCACAACTGAAAATGCAAGTTGTCAACAAATACAAGATGATTTTCTTGAAAAATTATTAGATATAAATAATAAACAGTAAACTTTAAATTTATGAGGCCCATTATCCAAAAATTTCCCAGGGAGAAGCTAAATTAAAGTGCAGGATGTCTATTTTTTTATTAATAAGAACCAATACTTACATGTTTTTCTGCTTACTCCAGTAATTTTGGACAAGTTCATTTGTAAAGCCTGCATCCAGCAAGACTCTGTTAATTAAATCCGTATTACCTAACACAGAAAAAGAATATCCTCAATCACACCCACATAGTTTTTAAATTAGGATAATAATGAAACAAATATATTTTCTATTTCCAAAAGCAATTTAGAGTAGATGATATTTCTATGAATTTAAAAATATATTCCACATTCATTTTCTTTGTGTTTTCTATATTGTTCATCTTGCCTCACATTTTTCAGGATATGCATGGAGTCAACAGTGGAAAAGCCAATTCTAAATAAAGCAAATTATTTCGTGAACTTTATCAAAAAGATACCTGAAATATGCCATGTTAAGAAACAATGACAAAATAGTCTTTGTTTTCTGTTTTTGTTTCTGTAGGTTAGTGTATGGTGATTCTAAACCAACATAATTTCATGGACAATTTTTATATATATACTTTTTATATACATATATGTAATTGTGTTTCACAAGATTGTTATCTCTCAAATTGTCAAGTAAAAACATTAGACAAATGGTTATGGTCTACTTTTACTTTCATTTTTTATAAGTAAAAATATTCTAATTCTTCTTCATACCATATATCAGAACATAGGATAATTTTTGAATAAATTTGACCTTATGAAGAATTCAATATAATGCTTTTTGGGGGTGGCTGTCAAGGAATGGAATACCTATTACAGACCAGCATTATTCCAAGACTGGCTTTTGGAATCTATCGGTATTGGTTAAAGAGAACAGGCTTCAGGTTGTTATTTGTGGAATAACTGAGAAACATATTAGTCCAAGTTCAAAGGTAATGGGATAGATGATGAAGACCAAAAGACAATTAATACACATTCCGAAACAAAAACCACCACTGCCTTCTTTCCTTTCTCCTGGCTCCTTTGCTCTAAGCCCATGAAGCTCTGAAAAAATGTACAGGTGCCCTCTGAAATTTCACATTTATAATAAAATCTCATTGTATTCAGATAAGAAATATATGGTCTTAACAAATATCTATTACTGCAAGAGGTGGAAGTGGAATAGGCTGGAAACATTTTAATTAGTTTCAATTATTTTAATATATCTTTCACCCATGATTAAAGATCAATTTAATCCATACCTTAGACTACATTTCAATTTATTCTAGGAACCATCTTTTTTGCTACATTATTTTAGAAACTGAATTACTTTAAAAATAGTCCATTTGGAAAGAAAAATGATAGATTTTAATACATCCTTATAGCTAAAATGAAATAAGAGACTATTATTCAAATTTGTGATATAACTTGAGGTTACAAGTAATTTTATAATTTCATTCATATTTTCATTATGCTCCAAGCCTAAAATGTGTCTTGAAATATGTGTCCTGCAGGTGGTTACATACAACAGATAAACAGATTGTTTGTTAGTGTTAACTCCTACCATTTTACAAACACACAATATCTCATAAATATTAATAAGGGGCATGTGAAAAAGACAACCACTCTCTATCGTAAACATTTAGGTAAGGTAATAAACATTAGGTGAGAATTACAATTTTGCTAATGACTTAATAACTTTTACAATGCAAAATAAACTTGACTGCACCCTTTCAGAAAAACTATTTAGATCACAGATTTCAATCACTGGTATCTATTTTTCATGTTAGTTTTACATATTATTTGATAATATAATATAAAAATATGATGAATATATATAATATGTAAAACTGTCACAGGAAAATAGAAATAATTTTATAGGTATTAGCTCTTTACTTAAAAATTCTATAAATTCTTAACTCCTCACATGGTTATATGATCACCTCAAACCTTTCCCACTGGATTATAGGGAAAGTAGATAAAAGGTGAGGTGAAATGAAAAAAGACTGAAGAACTGACAACAGTATGGATTATACTGAAAGGGTTTTGTTTAAACATATTTATACTTCTCTATAGGAACTAGAGGCAGTGAAAAAAAAGAATGATTCCAATTTTCATGGTGTTCTAAAGAGTATGTATGTTAATAAAAACATCTATGATAAACATCTTTGCAAGGCATATGAGTGCTACAAATTTTGGTATCCATTTAAGGGAATATTCAACAATCTTATTTCAGTATCGATAGCAAATAAACCATGACATAAAATAACACTTGGAAGGCTTTCACTCAGAGTGAGCTCACACTGAGTAGAAAAGTTTGGAATCATCCTCAGGCATGATCAGTGTAGACTCCAGCTGCTGGTGATAGGTTTTCAGAGTGGCACTTTGAAGGCACTAGCTAGTTCGTGCTGAAGTGGAGGTACTAGGAATTTATTTCTTCTCATATGTAATAAACCTAAGTTTGAGAGATGGCTTTTAAAAGAAGGGTTTTTCATTTTTGATAACTGATGAAGTACTTTGTTTAGCCTCTCCTGATAGAGAAATATTAAAAAAAAAAAAAAAAATGGAGGAGGAGAGAGAACAAAAAGTCAATTATGTGTACTTGTTCTTTTTATCAAATTATTTAATAAGAGAAATTTGGCCATGCATACGGTTTTCTTCTTATTTCCTATTTGCACTGCATTTGTTCCTGATGGCACTTTTATAATAAATATCTTTAGAAAGAAAAAAGCAATTTAGATTTTGAACTGTCTTAAAACCAAGAATCTATAAATCTCTATGAAATCTCAATAGTATGAATAATGCAAACTTATAATGGTTCAAAACTAATTACTGAAATTTCTGTTATCTATTCTGACTTAATTTACTTCATAAAATGGGAAATTACAGAAGCATACTTTTTAAGATAAAGTTTCAGGAAAAAAAACCATTAAGTGATATATCCTTATTCATACTTTTTTATTCTATCCATATTAAAACTCATTATATAAATTTGCAGATATAAATAAATTTATCAAAATCTGTTTTATGTTTTCCTCAGTATAACAGGAGCCATGCAAAGAAGTCATCAACAGATCATTCAAAATTAAATTTCCTAAATTTGAGGAGTTAAAGTGTACAAACCTTATTTTTACATTTAACCATTTGCAAGTGTCTAATACCTTCCTTTGAAAATTTGATCTCAATTTTCTTTACTATATAAAATTAATGATCCAATTGTTATATTTTATTAAAAATTAGTAAAATAAATAAGCAAATCAGCACACCAACAAACTAATACGATTATCATATTATATAATACAATAATATGAACCCAAGATATGACTACTTTGGGTATAACCATACTGAAACAGTTATTGCTATACATACTTACATGATGGGTTGTTCGGTGTTTTTCTATCAATAAACTCATTGAAATTTAAAAGAAATTCAGTGTTGTTATCCGATATCTTAAGGTCATTGCAGTAATCTCTGAAAAAAATATATTTTAGGATTTTAGGTATTAAAATTAAAACTTTACAAGTAATTGCAGGTAGTGAAAACACTTTATTAGCTGTATGACTTTGCAAGCCATTGAACTTGTTATCTTCATTATCTTATCTCTATAAAACCATACTTTGCTAGTGAGTGGTGAGGACGACAGATAATGTACATTAAATACTTGGTCTCTGGATGGTAGGTGCTTAATATTAGGTTTTGTTGTACTTATTGTTATTGTATAATTGTAGGTTTGTAGTTCTCATATAGAATTTAAAACACATTTTAAAGTATTCATTAAAATAACAATAAGCTTAACATGTTTATGAGCAATTACTATATTTAAAAATTAGTGAAAAAATAAAAGTGGCATTGTTTTACATATTTGCAAATATCTTTAATTCCTGACATAATAAAAGATAAGTCTGTGTCTGAATTCAATAAACTCTACGATTTTGTTTTGGTACATGAAGAAAATATGTCCTCACAGAGGTAAGAAGTTGGGTAAGAGAGGATTGTTTTAACAGTCTTTTCAGATATTGTGGCTATTCTTTTTTAAATAACACACCAAAATTTGGTTATTTGTGATTTCTTGACGGTTGTAATATGGAATCTGAAACAATATCAGTAAAAGTTTTGTATTCTGTTACATTAAAATTCAATGTTCTATTTTGCACTTCGAATTAAACTTTTCAGCATAATTTTGTAACATCATCAATTGGTTAATTGGAAAATGAGTTGTGTAGAACTTCCAAATGATTACACATTTCACTATACAATATTGAAAAATTTCATTAATATCACCACTGACCTCACTGGATAAGTCTGTATTAGGAAGCTGTCATGCTCATAGTAGTAGATACAACTTTCCCCAAATTCTAATTTTTGTTCGAAATTCTCAGATTTTGTCATTGGCAACAAATACTCATAGTTGTTTTCTTCAAATTAAAGGCTTATTTGATTTAATTTTGAGAAAATGACTGCCAAATAGCCAAATGTGAATAAGCATAGTTCATCTGTCATTTGTTCTTTCAAGTAAAATATTTCAGGAAAAAAAAGTGCCTAGTTCAGCTCCTAACTAAAAGAATTACGCAAGTGCTTTTCTTTGAGAAATCCAAGTTACAGCGGGATGTGGTAGCAATTCCAACTTTATCACACAGAATATTGAAAGACATACTCAGGGGAAAGTTTCAGTAGAATTAGTAATTCTCACTGTCACAATCAAGAATACTTTACTAGGTGAAACTAGATTTTTCCCTCATGTGGATACCTGGCAGTGAAGATTACAAAGGCTACCAGTACACGTTAGTGCTGCTGCCTTAATTCATGCTAAGGTACCAGCCTACAATCGCTTTTGTACTGTCCTTACAAATGTTAATACAGTGAAAAGACAAACAGCATTTAATATCATTAAAAAAATAGTTCTGACCCTGTGAGTCCTCTGAAAGGTTCTCTGGAACCCACAGGTTCTGGAAACCTTACTTTGAGAACTACAGTCCTAAGTGTTTTGGAAATTCAGAATAAATATGAGTAAGGCAACATAAATGTAAGAAGCTCGCTATTATAATTATGAGATTGATACAACCAAGTATTAAAGACAAATACAATTAAATAGTAGACATTTTCAGATGCAAAGCCATTACCTAAACAGAAAGCCTCGGAAAATAGAAACAGAATTATCAGAACTACAAAAACAAGGTTTAGAAAGTTTAGTTATTAAAAGAGCTAAATTTGTCTGCTTCCCAGAATGCTATGCTATTTTGGAAATAACAGTAGCCTAGAAATCAAAAGACTAATGTATTATTATCTCACAGAACAGACCTACAGTTACTAGAGCTGGGAAAGGGGGAGGAGTTGAGGGGTTAGGGTATAATTGGGTAAGAACGCAAAGAATAATTACAATTTGTAATCATGAACATATTGATTTGATCATCACATACTATACACAAATACTCTGTAACCCATTAATATGTAAAATTAAGTATGTTTCAATTCAAAAAATAAAAAAAAGATAATACAAATCTTTCCATGAAAAAAAAAATTATGATCTCACAGATTTAGAAACTGATGGCAAGGTTTTAGGACTAAATAAAATGTTACAAATAATTATTAACAAAACCATTTTTGGAATACTACTTTATTATCTAAAAGGCATTTCTAATATCTTTGTTTGCTTAGTCTAAAAATAACTTTATCAAAAGGTACTTAACATGTTAGAGGTGAGCAATCAGATTCAAAGATGTAAAAAGATTTTCCCAAAGGCATCTGAGTAGCAAATGGTCAAGCCCTGAGGAGAAGCCAAGACTTAGATCTCTTATTAGTGTGTGTGTTTCAATCATACAATGTGCTTTGAACTTTCACTTTGTGAGCTTTTATTGCAGTAAAACTCCATGCCAAAAGCAACTTTGACCTCCACCAATAGAAGGCTTTTGGTATTTTAACCAATCACTTTAGACAACGTGTTGTTTTCATCCTTGCTGGCTGGGTTGTGATACAGTTTGAAGTATCTGAAGATATTATTTACCTTCTGATGTTTGGTAGTGGCAAAATATGAAAATGTTGAAACTACCAGGAGAGTTATTGAATTAGGATGAAAACAAAAGTAGAAATAATTTAAACAATGAAAATGTGAGCAAAGGCTGAATTTGTGTCAGAGGAATGAGTTCTCCGATAGTAAGAATGATCCAGAAGGACAACAGAAAAACATGCACCATGTAGTTACATTGAAATATTTGAGACGTAATTGTGTGGCTGGGGATAGACAGTATTGATGTTGGTTACCTTTAGCCCAGTGATTGTTCACCATAGGGCTGGGAGCTTGAAAACTCAAGATAATCACCATTTCTTAAGTTTTTGTCCCAAAGGAACCATCTCATGACAGTGGGTGGCAAGGCAATAACTGTGGTTCCCAAAACAAGAAGTTCCCCCAGGACTTGTGGGAAGACCTAGATGATACACTTTTTATGTGATATTGTTTCTCTAAAAGAAATCAGTTTTATACACAGTGATCATTAGTGAATCTCTTTTAGGAGAAGAATTCCTTGGAGGAAATAAGAGAGCATGGTGGATAAATGTTTGGATAACTTTATAGGAACAAATAAAACTTCATTTTGTTGAAAATGCCTCCAGGGCCTGAAAGTTATAATGTCTTTTGGTCATTTTGTGTTTCTAATGGGCTTTAAAACCTAAATGGCTTTGAAACTAAAAGACCTTTGGTATCAGATATTTGGCAAATTATTTCTAGAATACTGAAAGTGAGTTTGTCCTCATTCTATTCAACAAACTTACGTAGATCATATATCACAAATTAGCATTTAATGATAGGCTATCTTGTATTGTTATTTCTTTCTCATTCTAATACACCTTTATTTCTAATTATCCAAGAAAGATGGCAAGATTAATCCATGTTTTAGATTTTTCATCTCTATGACTGTATGCCTCTTGAAGGTAGGAATCATGCCCGTGTATCCATATTCTCAACATTTTCTCTTTGTAGTAATTTTAAATTTTAATGAAACTGCACACAATGATTATTAATCAGAATCAAATAGCTTAATTTATTTAAAAATTAAAAATTGTTTATTGCTAAAATTTGCATGCTTGCTTTTAAAAATTATTTTAAAATAACTGCTTTTTAACACCTTTTATTAAATAACACTCCTTGTACTACTAACTCCTACTACGCTATAGATGATCATAACAACAAATACTTAGAGCTCATATCTTACTAAGGGCTGTGCTCAATACTTTGCATGTATTATCTCATTTAAAGAGTATAGGAAAGGCTGGCATGTGGCTCAGTTGGGAGAGCGTGGTGCTGACAACACCAAGTCAAGGGTTAAGATCCCCCTACCGGTCATCTTTAAAAAAAAAAAAAAAAAAGAGTACAGGAACTATATGATAGGGATTATTTTGCAAATAAAGAAACAAAGGTACAGAGAATATGAGTAATGTGGCCATGACAATAAAGATCAGAGAAACAGACTATATAGTCTTGTTTTAGAACTGGCTACATTGTTTTCATTAACAACAGTGACAAAAAAAATATGACTGCAGTCCTACTGTAGGTTGACTGTCCCCCCAAAACTCATTGAAATTTGATCACCATTGTAACAGTGTTAGGAGGGTGAGAAGTCAGACTATAGCAGAGTTGAAAGGTTGGGCCATTAAAGGTGACTGGATACTCAGGACTATGCCCTTGTGGGTGGATTAATCCATTTATGGAATAATGAGTTATTAGCTTAACGGATTATCATGGGTATAGACTGGTCACTTTATAAGGAGAGCACATGAAAGTGCTCTTGCCATGTCATACACTGCATTGCCACGGGACTCTGTACAGAGCCCCCACCAAATGTGTTCCCTGGACCTTGGACTTCCCAGCCTCCAAAAGTGTAAGAAATAAATTTTATTTCTTTATAAATTACCCAGTTTCAGGTATTCTATTATAAGCAACAGAAAATGGACTAATACAAGCCTTATACCACACAAACTTCTGTCTTTTCTCATTGTTTTTTCTTTATCCAAATTTCCTATCACTTAATTTTCTACAATTCTTTGAATACACATTCAATACTCACTTGTCCAGGAAACCCTCCCTACAAAAATATTATATTCAGATGTATTGGGTGTTTTTTTGAGATCCCTTAGTATTTACATATTCAATGTACATGCTTATACCCTCAAGTAGCAAGGAAAATTGTTCAAATCTCATCTTATTTAACCTCTCTAAAACTGTTTCCTAATCTATGAAATGGGATAATAGTAATTTATTGCAGAGTTGTTCTGGGCTATAAATAAAATCATGCAGGAAAAGGGCTTGTAACGTATGTTAATTGAGGTGGACACTCATTGGTTTGTGTCACAAGCTACATTTCCTCCCTTCTCAGAGGAATTCCAGTCCTCCAGTCAGCCGAATTGATAATGCATGTGATTCAGGCAACAGAAATGGTCTATATGCTAACCCTTGCTGGAATTAACAAAATCCATTGACTATGAAGTAGGATCCAGAATTCAGAAATATATTTATCCTCTCCATTTGTACCTGGACTTCCACCATGTTTTCCACCTCATCTTATAGTAAAGATGAGAAAGCCCATCTGCAGGGTCTCCTATTATTATTATTTAGGAACTGGGAGGGATCAGTGAAAAAGATGTCCAGAGAATAACACAGATCGGAGATGGAGAGAGTCTTGCCAGCATAGCAAGCCTACTTTCAATCTCTTCTTATATTTTTGCTATGTTAATACGCTATGGGACACTGATCTTTTAATATTGAGAATATTTGCCTTTTTAGTTAAAACTGGTTATTGTAGTTTTAAGTTACTCAAATTAACCTAAAATTTAAGTTACTTAAAGTAACTTAAAATTCACTTAAAGTTGCTCAAAGTTACTTTTGTCCAAAAAAATGCTAATAAGATACACATTTTGTTAATTAGGGTTTTTTAGAATACTATTCATATATCTATATATTCTCCAGTCACTAAATATTTATTCAGCACTTACTGTGTACCAGGGAATGGACTCAATATTGGCTAGTGAATAGTAAGTAGAATAGACAGTCATGACTCTGTTGAGAAAAGTAAATAAAATGAAATGTGGCCAGTGCTCTGGTAAGGGAATCACATGATTCTATGAAGCATTCAGCAAAGATGCGTAATTCAGAAAGATGGGGAAAAAAATCCCCAGATTAGGAGGTTCAGAGTTGGGGTTTGGGAGGGACAGTGGGTGTATGTGTGTGCAAAACTTAAAATAGAAAAGAAAATTAGTGGAAGAAAGAAGGAAAAACAAAACAACAACAAAATTAGTGCATTTAGGAACTGAGAGCAGTTCAGTGTGGCTGGTATTTAGTGTAAAGGTAGGCAAACTTTTTCTCAAAAAACCAAATAGTAAATGATTCAGTCTGTTTAGGCCATAAAGTCTATGCCAAACTACTCAACTTTGCCTCTGTATCAAAAGCAGCCACAGACAATAAGTAAATAAATGAGAGTTGCTGTGCTCCAATAAAACTTTATGTGCAAAACAGGCAGATGGTCTATAGTTTGGCCCCTGATGTGGAGTATGGAGGACCACATCAGTACGTTGGGATCTGGTGACAGAGCAGTTCAAAGTCATGATATGAAGTATAGATTATCGTGAGGACAGTATAGAGCCATTGGTTACTATTAAGCAGATAAGAAATCTGATTTTCTTCATATTTTAGAAACTTCCTGGTTACAGAATAGAGACAGGATAGGGAAGTAAGGAAGAAATATGAAGGTAGGAAGATCAATTAGGAGGTGGTTGTAGTAGTTCAGGTGAGAGAAAGCCATAGTCTGGACTAGGGCAATGGCAACTGAGACTGACAGAGGTACTTGATACTCATAAAATAGAATTGGCAAGACTTGATTGATTAGAAGTTAGATATAAGGGAAAGGGAGCAGTCAAGGACAATTAACAGGTTTCAAGGTCACACATTGGAGGCTGGTATTTTCTTCACAGAGGCAACACAGAAAGAAGAGCTTTCCAAAGACAAATATTTACAAACTACAGAATTGGAAGCACATTGAAGAGCCAGAATTCAGAACTTCCTTTATGCAGAAATAAAAAATAACTCAGAACAATTTTTATGAGCTTTTTTTGGTTTCTCAGCATAATTTCTTTAAGAAGTATTAGAAATTAATAATATAAGCTTATGTATCTGTTTTCTTCAATATTTTAGCCTGGATTAATAGAAATTATAATTAATTTGAATATTATGTGTGTCTGCTAGAGAGTAGGAGTCAAAAACTGAAGAAAGAAAAAAAACACTTGGATTATAGTGTAGTTTCAAATAACTACAAGACATAGAGGAGGCAGGGATAAAAAAAAAAGATGTATATTAGGGATAAAGAAGGGGGATTATGAGAAAGAAATAAAATTGGGTAGGAGGAAAAATTATCCGAGGCAATGTCAATATAAATATGTTTTCCCAGATAGTGTGTTAGAATATTAAAAAAAAAAATCTATTATAAGGTTAAAACATTCTAGCCATATATGTATAAATACACATATTTGTACATACCTATGAATATTTTTTTCGTGTATATATACTCACAAGTGGAAATACACAATTCTCGATTATTGTCAGATGCACTGTTAGCTCCACAAGAGCAAAGCCTTTGTCTGTCCTATTCACCACTGTATCCCCAGTCAGCACATTGGTTAGCACATAGTAATTGCTCAGTAAGTACTTGAATGAGTAAATGAATGAATAAATAGGATGTTGTTTTAATTTTAAAGCTATTGTTGCCTTTGCTTTCATAATTTGACAAGGAATTAACCCAGAGCCGTCTTGACACCAATTCAAAACTGTTGTTGAAGACCTACACATTCATACAAAAAGAAAAATAAAACAAAACCAACCTTGGTGCTATGAAGGTATAGCCAGATTCTTCAAAATTATCCGGCTTCAGAGTTTCTGAATCTGCAAAGATAACGTTACAGGATTAGATAAACAATTCACAGTATATGTCCTGAAATTCTACAACTGTAAGTAGGCCTTAGAAAGATTACCTAATAAGAAAAATTAAAAATAGACTACTTACATCCTAAAATTGAAACACATCAATGCTTCCCAATAATAAAATCATAACATATATTAACTTCATAATATGGACAACAGTCACATCAGAGAAAATGCTATCTCTATAATTTTCCCATTTACTAACCCTACCATAACCAAATAACTTTTAAAAAGAAATTAATATCAATGTTATGTCAGAGATATCTTATTTAAAATATCATAAAATGTTTAACATAAAACATTTACCATTATTACGATAAAGAAATGATTTTAATAATCTCATTAATGCCTTTAGTGAATTAATAACATTCTTCATATTAGTTATAAATTAGTAAAGTGGAAGGATAAAAAACACAAGTTTTTAAGTCTAAGAAAAAAAACTTGAATGTGAAACAGGTTGCATATAAAAACACAAGCATATTCTTTCCCTCTTTTTTGCTGCTAAGTGATCATGGAGGAAAATCTAGCAAATGAGAAGCACACAGGATAATATCCAATAGGAATGAAAATACCAGTGGAAATGTCAAGTGTACTAAACAAAGAAATTGAGCAACAAGAAAATACTTGCCCTTCATTTTGCCCCTTTTTGCTGTGAAAATCCATCAGAAAGAGAAAGCAGGGAAACAAAAAAAAAAGAGGGTAAAGCAAAGGGGGTCACAAACAATATTTTATTCAATGACTTTCTTGAATAAAAATATTGTGCATAGATCAAAAGTTCATTTATGTATAGTTGTAGTCTGGAAAAAAAGACACATAGTTTTGAAGACTGTAAAGTATGTCCTGTCCATTATTACTAGATCATCCTTTCTGAACTGCGGTTATTTCAATGTTCTGTTTTGCAAAGTGATTAACACAGGTGCAATACCAGTGATGTCAGCCTATAAAAAGAAGCATTTACCAATCATCAAAGACTTACTAGTTATCCCCTCACTTGTAAAGTGAAGAACTAGCTCATGCAAAATTGCTGGTTGTTAAAAGACCATCATATCTATCAAGTAAAAATGGAAACAAATATATAATATACCAGAATATACTATGAGCAACAGGTCTGCAGAGAGCAAAAAAGAACTGACAGAGAAATGAACGAAACTGTGGTTTACTTTAGGGTCAGATATAAAAGATATATATCCATACATACATACACATTGTTTTATGTTTTTTATGTCATCCTAACAGAAAAATTTTAGGTTGTTAGTAGTAATAGATCCATGTGTAAAGGATATGATGGTCATTTCACTTTACTAAATCTAGTCACCCAAAACAAAATAAAGATTAACAATGACTTGAAATATGCACTAGTGTTAACAGTTACTTCACATTCCAAATTATGCTTAAAAAAAAAAAACCCAACAAAAACTAATCCATTTGAGCTACTGAAACATTCATTTGGATTATGAAAAGAAAGTTGATTGCCAAACCAAAGCCAAAGACCAGTGCAATTTAGTTTATTCAAACAAAGTAGAAGACGTGAAGCACAATATTATTCTGGCTAGATGCAAAAAGAAAAAAAGGAAAGATAAGAAAAGGAAAAGCTTTACTAGCACAATGCCATGAGTAGAGACTATGTAGATAATTAGCATGGGAAACATTTCACGCCAGCTAGCAGACCCTGAAAATGACAGCAACAGAGGACACAGCACTGCAATGATTCTATGAGCACATAGCAAGGCAGGGAAGGAGGGTGGGGACTGCCAGTGAGACTGGAGTACCTGCTTATATTCTATCCATGTAGAATATTTCTTGTTCCTTGCATGTTTGGAATGGGTTAGAATCATTGCTGTAGATTTGGTAATAACACCTACTAAAATGTATAAGCCTTGGGTATTCCAAAATCTAGACGTATTTAAACATCTGATACTAAGAGATAACAAATAGACCCTGAAGTCACTTTCACAGTACTTACATCTGGCCTGAGTTATTGTCTCTTCTATTTTGGCTTTTATATAGTAAAAACTGTAGGTTGGTAATACCAAGGCCAAACTGCAATAGAAACAAGAGAAGCATAAACACAAACAAACAAAAATGAAACATAACTTAAAATTAAAAAAAAAGACACATCAAGTTCATGGGAAAATCTAAAGATCTTCCTCATGGGAAGGAAAAGACATGTTAGTTTGAGAAGAAAATGCATTCAGCAAATAGAATACTTAATTTGTCTTCCATCCATAGTTATCCACCTTTCTACACTGCAGGGAATCAGAACAGACATGTGCAAAATAAGACACTAAATGCACCTATAAATTAGCTATGGAAGGAATGTCATGGGTCCCTACTATATTTCCATAAAATTATATTAAAATCGTTTGAATTTTGACAAAAATAGGACACTAGGGGTATGCTTAAACAAACTAAATTGATCATACCAATTGGATACCCTTCCTTAATGTATTCTATATAAAATGCTTTGAATCAAAGACTATTAAACATATAAATGGAAGAATTATTATCATTTCTATTGCACAATGCATAAAATCATTGGTAATGTAATCTTTTGAAGATTCAAGATTTATATTTTAAAACTAGTCCTTGGGCAAATTCCCCAATGTCTGCTGTTGGGCAAATTCAGATTACTTTATGGCACTAATAAAGACTGTCCACTTATCCCATTGGTTCTTACCCAATAGCAAAACTAAAGCACAGTATTTATTTCAAGTTTATTTACTGTAGATATTTCATATTATTTTGGTAAATTATTATTAGGTACAACAGGAAATGCATCTTGAATATGGTACTTTTCAAGAGCCATGAGGCTACTCTAGTCTTATGGTAGATGTCCAAATCAGAGGAGTGTTCCAGTGCAAATTTTCATTTGCAGAACAAGTTCAGAATGCTTTAGAAACAAAAAAATGCCAGACAAGCCTGTCATCAAACCTTGCCTTTATGACTTCTCAAGATAACAAGCTGTCAGGCAGGTAACCTTACTCATTTTGAAATTGCCAGTTGATAAAATGCATGATGTGTTAGAACTGTTAAAAGATGTCAAAATATAATGCAGTTTCTAGTAACACAACTGCATATGTGTAATCCTACTTTCACACTGGCTAATACACATGTGTAGGACATAACTAATTATCCCATATCCACATCTGTAGTTGTAGATGACTTTTGCTATGTTTTGTATATAGAAGGAAATTTGTGAGCTATGGGTGCAAAAAATGCAGGTATCTCTAATATGAGCCCTCTAACTACTTCTAAAAAGCGACACTTGATTAATGTCACCTTGAGTCATTTGGCATTCACTTTAAATATTTAAGCCAAATTTTAGTAATGCACAGGAAACGGTGTCCATTTCTAGGCTTTTGAGTGTTTCTAGGCATTTGCAGATCTTTTAAATCTGTCAAGCCTCACGTATCTCCAACTTTGGGTATGGAGGTCCAAACTGTAATCGCATTATATACTGTTTATGGACAATATAAAATAGGCCAAAATATACAATTTCAGATTTTCCTTCTTATGAGTATAAATGTTAAAAATTCACTCTACAAAAAAAAAAAAAAAAATCAAGGGTATGCTTGCTACAATTCAATTATGAAATAAAGATAGCAAATTGAGTGGATGCTTGTTACCTCCAATTCCCAAATCTTTCTCCACCATTAAGTAATTCATAGGCTTTCCTCATGGGAAAAGGTCAGGGGAATAAAATGTTATGTAGATTTAATAAAAATTTCTACATTCATTTGATAGGTAACTTCCTTTAAGTGGAGACAGAGATTAAAAAAATAAGCAGTGCAATCAGTATGAAAGCAAGATGACCTTTTATGATTCACTTGCCATGTATAAAATGTAGAGCAGAATTACTAAGCATTTGAAAACTGTCTTCTACAAATTCCTCTCAAGGGAAATTAGGACATTTTTATTGCCCCATCAGCATTTATTGCTAAGAGAAACTTCTAATTAAAACTGATAACATTATATCATGCGATCGCTGCAGTGTCACTCTGTAAGCTTGGATCACATCTCATATACCACAAAAAATAGTGTGGAAACCCATGAGGAACACAATAGAAGTTCTAAAATTGGCATATCAAATATACATTTTGTTGGCCTGCGAGTCTTAGATTGTTATTAATAGCTACAATCCATTCTATAGAAAAACACATTTATACTTAATTTAATTATTTCCATCTCAAGTCAACAGTTATTTCTTCAGCATATAACCAGATAAGATCTTTACCAACATTCCAAGCCAGTGGTGCTGTCATATGCAATGTTTGCTGTCTCTCTGCACATAAAATCAATAGACCAAGACTGCTTTATTTCTTCCTGAAGATTAATGTTTAATAAAGCAAGTGGCCACCAGATGGATGGTAGAGCCCACAAACATGGACTCACACACATCATTAATTAAATTAAATGATATATAACACACATCATTAATTAAATTAAATGATATATAACACATTTTTCAACTTAATCACTTATCTCTGTAAAACTAAACTTTTCATTAAAAAGTATTCTATTAAAATTAATTACTATAGTTCAAATTATGGTACCTAAGTTGGATCAAGGTTTAAGGAGACAGAAATCACCAGGCGAAATTTGGTACCTCATTCATTAAATTAAAATATATCATTTATTTTCCCCTTCAACTTAGATGTGATATTTTGTTCTAAATTCTTATTTGTGAATTTGGAGATTCAGGGAAGTTTTTACAATAGAAGTAGATTTAATCTGGCTCAAAGTTGGAGACTTTGGAAGGAAATACATGAGGAAAACATGCAGAAGTGAGGAAGTTGGGGCCTTTTCAGAGAATGGTAATATGTATCACAGAAGTGGCAGAAACGATAGGGCAGAAAGGTTGGGCTGGAAATGTGTGATGTGTATCTCAGACTTGGAAGTCCAAATTAAACTTGAATGAAAATGGGAAGAGACTAAAGTTTTGTGAACAGGGAGTGACACTGAACTTGAGAACAACATTTATCTGCTCCCACTGTGCATTATCACTGGGTTTGTGAGAAAAAGAGGTTGCGTGTAGAGTCCATGTGTGAGACAATGACAAATACATGCAAGCAGGGTATAATGAGAGTTTAAAATACCCTTGTAACTGCAGTAGGACCAACCATCATTGCTGACTCACTGTCAGGGTCAAAAGGGTCCAGTTTTTCTAACTTAAAATTTGTTTATCTAAGCAACAGGCATAGAGCACATCCCCACACAGTGCACCCAATACTTTATTTTATCATGAAATCATCTCTCAAGAGACAGAGATCCCAGATTTCCTCTCTTTACAAGCTTATCCAAAATTTGAAAGGTGGCAATAATCGAGAGAGGGAAAAAAAGAATGATTTGTGTATGTACATGAAGATTGTATATGTGTAAAGAAATGCCTAGATAGAAATTAGAGACAGAAATCAGTAGATGGAAATAAGTTAAATAATTAAAACAGTCATTCTGGTGGTTCTCAATAAACCCCAAAATATGTCAAGAATTGAAAAAGTAAAGAAGAACGGCTGGCATCTAGTGCATCATGCTATTAATATTTACATCCTTTTATTCTATAGCTATTCTATATGCCTTCCAAGGAACACAAAAAAAGACAGGTTCCTATAATAGCACCATTGTGGCTCCAGAGAAATCCCCAGAACACTAGCCACCCCTAAAAGTTTGTGTGTATATTCTGAGGAGTTGGTTTGATTTTATTAGGAATGAAAGTTGAGTCCACCAAAGCCTATTAATTGGGCTGCATAGTAATTGTGCATTAATATGTAGTTAAGGAGACCACCACATTGCAATGAAAGTTTTAGACACCATGATATGAACTTGGCAGGACGAGATAAATTGAAAATTTCTTCAATTTAAAAATTCTTCACTTTCTTCATTTCTGTAAATATTTGTTGAGTACCTACTGTGTGCCACTGTCTTGTGAGCTGGAAATTTAGAAGTAAAACAAGCAACATTCCCTGCCCTCTTAGAACTTACTAGTGAGAGAAGACAAATAATAATCAGTAAAAATAAAATTTTATATATATGCTTCATGTGTGGGTAAATGTCAAATGGTGGTAAGGGAACAGAGAATACAAGGCAGAGGAAAGAGATAGGGTGTGTGCTGAGGCACTTGATATTTGTAGTAGGATTACTGGAGAAGGCCTTTCCGAGGAGATGAAAAGTAAGTAAAGATGTGAAGAAGATGAGGGAATGAGCATGTCTGGGAAAAGTAATGTCAGGTACAAAGGCCCTGAGGCAGACGTACCAGTGTTTATGACCTGTAACAGGGAGGACAGTGCGGCTTAACCAGAGGGTGTTCAGTAGAGAATGTGGGGGATAAATTCAGAGAGCTGATGGTGAGTGAAGTAAGATGATTTAGGCCTCTGATAGCCGTGACAGACTTGGGCTTTCATACTGAACGATATAGCAAATTATTGGGGGACTGCATGGAGAAATAAAGCAATCTAACTCAGGTGCTCAGATCATTTTTGTTATTGTGTAGAGAATAGAAATAGAGATAGAAGATGGAGACACTGATACAAATAGTTACGTCCTTTTTACTGGGAGTTCTCTCTGTCCGCTTCTCTCTCTCAATGGAATGAAAAGCAAAGATATCACCTGACAGAAAATGGATAAGGGGCTACAGGTTTGAAAAGAGAAGAGAAGCTATCAAAAGTCATCTCCGAGTGTCCTACATTTACTGAATTATTGAGATTGCCAGGCACAACTAAGGCCCACTTGAGGTAGAGGTCATGAATTTTAGGGGATACATCAATGAGTGAGTATTTTACTTCAGCTACTTTTAGCTGCATAGGTGCAGTGTGATGTTGGTAATAATTTAAATTTAACCAGGATTGGCATTTCACCAAACTGCTATATGCCAAACCTGAGCATGATAAAGGGAGTTAATGGTGTGTGCAAGACAGTGAACATAATAAGACCCAAGGAATTTTTGCAGAAAAAAAGCGTACAAAGCATGAAGGGTAAAGCAGTGAAAGGAAAAAAGGATTGATTGATTTCACGTCTCAATTGAATCAAAGGATCGCTGGAGTTAGGCTACTAGTAGGACAGGATGCAAAGCTACAATGTGGTCATCTGAGAGTTGGATAATAAATCTCAAATTAAGATTATGAAAGAGTTGCAGTTTCAACATTGTAAGAATTGTAGAACATGACTCTGAAGGAGGTGACTATGGTAGGAAGATGTCAAGATCATTAGAGGAGAGAAGGTCAAACCAACCAACCAACCAACCAAAAAACAGAGTCCAGGTACTAGAAGTATCATTTATGTCAGTGATACTTAAAGTGTGGTCCATTGACCTAGCCCATTTGCAAACTGTCTATTGCCAGCCCATGACCAGTAAAATACAGAAATTGGGAATAAGCATTTAGAAGAATTTACAGCAGTTTGAAAGACAATTTCATGTCTGCAGAATCTAACAATAAACATTTTGAGCTTATGTTTTTATCTCTTTTAAATTTTATTTTAATAATTTTGGGGGGCTCATACCAGTGTGGGTATGCCATAAATAGTTTGAGGAAGAGTGATACAAGTGAATGGAGGAGAGAGTGGCAATAAGCCAGGAGCTGAAATCTTACAGGAATGAGAAGGAGATGGCTGGTAAAGAGGACTGGTGAGTGGTGTGGTTTGGTGACACAGGATTCAAAGATTCTTCAGCGGGGAAGAAGAAAGATGGTAACTAGAAGGGCATTCCCATATCAGTCTTGGTAACTGATCAGGATGTGGGAAGCAGGGCCACAGGGAGAGGGGTGAGTTCAGAAGAGATTTAGAGCAAGAAAGTGAAGGGAGCACTTAGCAAGTGTTGAAGAATGGAGGATTTCCAAGCAAAATTACAGGATACTAGGCTGTCCAATTTTCCGAGGCTCAGCGATGGCAGCAATCAGGATATTACAGAACTGCTACTCAGTGGGCTCAAATGATATCAACGAAGCATTTTATATCAGACACAATGATGATGAGATAAGCTTTATTTTTAGGTTAATCTACAACCTAAATGTAAATAATGTAAACTAAATGACAACTTAAAGAGGAAGTCAGTGGAAATGATCACAATAGATTACTGTGGGGATTTTGTCAACATTTATTATTCCTAATGTATATACACAAAATATATAGATTTATGTCACATAAGCTTTGATTTCTAAATTTTATATTGCTAGCTCCTTTCCATCTTTTCCATACTAAAAATCAGACTCTATCACTTTAATACATTTTTATGTTGGCAAGAGCAACTTTCCTATTGAAAATAGCTTGTGAAAATGCAAAAACATAATATTCATCCATTGGAAAAATGGCTACTAAAAACTGAAGACACTGAACACTCTTTTACACAAAATACACATAAATATAATTATTTACCTGTAATCTGTGCCATTGACAGGAGTCCATGTGTATGTCCTGTTTCCTTTGTCAATATATCTCTAGAAAAAAGTTTGACATGGTGTTATCACCTTACATTCTGTATGAATTTACATAGAGTAGAGCAGTAGCATCTACTTGTGAATTCTGTGGTCATTTAATACCCTTCTTCCTAAATGTATTATCTATTCTATTCTACATGTACATATTCTTTTTTTTTTTTCCTTTTTGTCTTTTTTCGTGACTGGCAACGGATCGCAACCCTCAGTGTCGCGCCCGTACCGGACCGGGACCGGCTACGGGATCGCAGCCCTCGGTGTTGCTCCCGCACCTCGCTCAGCCAGTGAGCGGCCGGTCTGTATGTGGGATCCGAACCCTCGGCGGGAGGGCCGCCGCACTTCCCAAGCGGTGCACTGTAGCAGTGCGCCACCGGGCCGGTCCTACATGTACATATTCTGTTATGAGTGTGTGAAGCAAAATTTTAGGAGAGAAATAAATAATCAAATAATAAGCTTAAGGACTTGTAAGGCAAAAATCTTAATAGTTTATGCCAAATTTGTATCCTCAAAACTTTGAAAACATTTCCTGAAGAACAAATTTTAATAATGAAATAGGACTAAGAAATACTAGAAAAGGCTGAGATATTTCCATACCAGAGTTATGTTTAAGAGTAATTGGTATTATCAGAAATTAATGCAGTGTGTTTAGATTCAAATGTATGATTAGCATATTACTGTTCTTACTCCATCATTATTATGGTATAAATATAGTGCTATAAGAGGCTAATTACTCAGTATCATTGGAGGTTAGGAAAACACCTAAATATATCATAGAAAGGAAATACAGAGTTAAATTATATGAATATAGAATATTTCATGTGTAGCTATTGAACAATAGTAAAGATATTCTTTCTTTCTTCCATTAGGTATAGGAATGGCACATACATAACTTTCAATTTTTTTAGTCATTTCCAGCTTCATCATTTTCACCAAAACAATAACTTTTATTGAAGTGTTACTTGGTGTGAGGCACTATGCTAAGTACCTTGCAATCATTGCCTCATTTTGTCAAATCCCTATAGTAGATACTATTACAATATATTGATATATATACACAATATATTGATGAAGAAATAAGTCTTAAAAAGGAGGTTGGGTACTTAAATTGGTAAGATAAAGGAAAATGTATGATGTCAAATCCATTTTTTATAGCAGCTATATACAATGTTGCTTCTATACATCACACATCCCTGTGGCCTTATGTGTGTATGTGTG